TTCAGCAGGTCTGGGGAAGCCCAGAGAATTTACATTTCTAACATGTTCTGTAGGTTGCTACTGTCAATCCACGGACCATGCTTTGAGAAGCAAAGGTCTAGCAGACATGCATCCTTGGAGTTCTCCTGTTTGACTTCAAAATCATGAACCCTCTTTCTCAGCATCCCCTGGCACCAAAAGAATTTTACTAAGTCTGGGTTTGTGCCTTTTCAATTTTGGCTATTAATAGTCATGTCTCTCTTTTTCTTTTAATAGCAAAACACCGAGTTGCTCATAAACCTCATTCCAAACCCAAAACTTCTGATATTCCTTAGAATTTAAAGTATTCTGTGAAGAGGCTTTTACATGTTACTTTAGTAACTAAATTCTCTTGAGTAAGGGTGGTAAATGAGTTATTTCTTGTGTTGAATTTTGCATTATGACCAGGGTACATTTTGACTATTTCTGCTTATATATTTTGAAGCTCTAGAGCAGCCTTCACAGTCTTCATTGTGCATGTGAAGAATCCTGTGGAGTTCTTGTTGAAAAACAGATTCTGATTCAGCAGGTCTGGGGAAGCCCAGAGAATTTACATTTCTAACATGTTCTGTAGGTTGCTACTGTCAATCCACGGACCATGCTTTGAGAAGCAAAGGTCTAGCAGACATGCATCCTTGGAGTTCTCCTGTTTGACTTCAAAATCATGAACCCTCTTTCTCAGCATCCCCTGGCACCAAAAGAATTTTACTAAGTCTGGGTTTGTGCCTTTTCAATTTTGGCTATTAATAGTCATGTCTCTCTTTTTCTTTTAATAGCAAAACACCGAGTTGCTCATAAACCTCATTCCAAACCCAAAACTTCTGATATTTTTGAAGCAGATTTTACAAATGATGTAAAATCCAAGGATTTGCTTGCTGATAAAGAACTGTGGGCTCGACTTGAAGAACTAGAGCGACAAGAAGAATTGCTGGGTGAACTTGATAGGTACTCAGTGACAAATTACCTTTCTAGAGAAACTTGTTTTTATATACATTTTCTCATTATTCTTTTTTCCTCATTAATAGAGTAGTATGTTCTCATTGAAGAAAATGCAGAAAAGCATAATATATTAAATTGTCAATAATCTTTCTACCCCAGTTAAGTATTAATTCTCTAGAGTATTTTAGGACTGTGTGTTTTTGCATTCTCATGCATGTACACGTATATATAAACTAAAAATCAATATCATTTTTTAAATTAGGTGATTTTATATTTTATCTTATAAAGTAATTATACTGGATAGTTGACTTTAATAATTATGGATGCTTTATTAAATTTTAAATGAAATGTTTTATACTATATTCAGGAAAATACTGTCTTTGAATTCTTAAAATTATTTGCTTTTAAGTTTTTAAAGAATTGTTTATTTAATTATTATTTTTAAATTTGTTGTAGGGCATATGCGCTCACCAGAGAAAGACTGAGAAAGAGAGAGGGAAAGTGAGAAAGCAAGCCACCAGGTCTGGGACTCAAACTGTGGTCGGCCATATGGGATTCCAGAGCCTCAACCTCCATGCCACCTGCTGGCCCTGATTTGCTTTTAAGTTTGATACGATGACAAGTTACCCTTGCTCTTCCTTTTGCCAACTTGTTTGTTTATTGAGCAGGCAATTAGTAATTTCGTCAGGTCGCTTTATACACACACACACACACACATATACATACATAGATACATGCATATAGACACACACATACACTATATATACACATGACACTTTGCCAAGGTGCTGTTTGAAATACACATTAGCACTTAACTTAAAATTGTCAAAGTGCTGAATGAAGTCTGCTACTACAGGAGCTCCTTTATTATTTTGTTTCAGTGATGTACTATATGCAGTAATTAATTTCTGTGAAATAATAAGACATGAAGCACAGAAACTATTTTTTTCCTGCCATTTCACTTATGAAGTCTTAGGTCATTTAGATTAACTGATACTATTTAATTTTTTAAAACCAGTTTTGGATTTTACAGTTTTCTTGGTCATGATTCTGTTTTGGTATGTTATTTCAGTTCTGTTGCATTTTTGGTTTTTGTTATTTTTGTGAGGCCCACAAATCCTTTACAAAATAAAACATAAATGTACATTAATATCTATAAATGTAAGTATATTCATATCCATATCTTCTTTATTTTAAAATTATAGTAATGTATGCTTATAAAATATTCTGCATGTAGAATAGAAAATAAGAGTATTTTACAGTTCTGTAGCTTTCATTTCTGGACTTTAAATAAAAATACATATCTAAATTTATTAAACATTTCTTATTGATAATTTTTTATATTGCATTTGGCTGATATCCCCCTAAGATAAAAAATGTAATTTGCTATATTTTACTTATGTTTGAATAACTTTAATATGCAGTAATGTCATTCTTTTTGTTAGATTACTTTAAAACATGTTTTATTTAGAGGTATTTTTTTTTGCTATAGGGCGTGTGCGCTCGCCAGACAGACAGACAGAGAGAGACAGAAAGAAAGAAAGCGAGAAATCACCCCCAGGGGGGGATGGCCATGCCGCAATCCCTTCTCCTCCATTTTCCTCTCAGGATCTTGGGCACGCACGCACACGCGCCCGGCGTAAATTTTAAGCTACTGGGTCCGGGACGCGAACCACGGTCGACTACGTGGGAGTCCAGCGACAGAGCCATTACGCTAACTGCTGGTCCCAGAACATCTGTTTTTATAGTTTAGAACTCTAGTTGAAAGATGCTTTAATCACAATCTTAATTTTTACCTGTTGACATGAACTGAAAATTAGAATATATAAAATTATAGTATATTTGTTTAGTCTTACTTATTGTCTCCTTTTTGTTTTTTTTTACTAGTAAGCCTGATGTTGTGATTGCAAATGGAGATGATTCAACATCTTCTGAAGAAGAAAAGGAAGATCAAAACACAAATGTGAATGTGATGCATCAAGTAACAGACTCTCTTACACCCAGCAGTTGTCATAAAGATGTCACAAGTTCAGAACTCCTCAATGCTCAGGGGACTAGTCAGTTGAACTGTTCAGTGAATGGTTCTCATTCTTATCACAGTAATGAAGATGATGATGATAGTGAGGATGATGATGGTGATAATGAAAATGACCATGATACTGTAGGAGTTGGAGATAATTCTGTACCAACAATATATTTTTCTCATACTGTTGAACCTAAGAGGGTTTGTATACTTTTAACTTTACTAATTTTGCATATAATTTAAACATTAAATATAATTTATGATAGTTTTATAAGAATATTATTAACAGTGTTTAATATTGTGGGTCTCGCTAAACAGGAAAATAATCTCTCTTGTCTTGTTCTGATCAGTTTTTCTAAAGAGAAAATGGGGGAAAAAATCTGGTTTGTTAAATGGTGTTTGTCCATTGTTCTCTGAAGAGAAAATAGAATTTGAATTGTTTGGGGTCTGGAAAGAGATCTGATTTGACTGGCAACAACTCTAACTCTTCCTGCCCTTTAACCTTTTTTAAAAATAATTATTTTATTTATTTATTTATTTTATTTTGACTAGAGAGAGAGACAGAGAAAGCGAGAAAGCAAGCCACCAGATCTGGGACTCAAACCATGGTTGGCCATGTGGGAGTCCAGTGTCCCTCAACCACCACACCAGCTGCTGGCCCCAGCATTTTGAAGATTCCTGGAGTTGGGGCTGGCAGGTAGCATTGGGTTTAAGGCACTGGACTCCCACATGGCCAACTGTGGTTCAGTTCCCAGACTTGGTGGCTTGTTTTCTCACTTTCTCTCCGTCTCTCTCTGGTGAAATGAATAATAATACAAAAAAATAATAATAATAATAAAAGAATTGAGTTGATTGCACTGGGCATTTTGGAATGTTGAGGATGTTGAAAGTAACTTCTTTTAAATTTTTTTTTTGTTATACATTAAATTGCTGTACTGGTCTTCTGTGTGGGCATACAATGAATAGAAATATCATGAGAAAAAGGAAAATTTAGGAAGAAATAAAAATTAGATCCTCTTTTTTTTGCCAAAAAAAAATGTGTGGGTAATGGTGACTAGGATTTTGGTATTTTAGAGCTGGGGATGATATAGCAATCTTCTAACACAGGGTTTTCAAGCTTTAGTATCAAAGCCTTTTGTTTTCTCTATACTTACTGTAAAATAAGAATTTAGAATAAATCAAAGCAACTTACTATGCTTAAAGGAAGGATGGACTACCTGAAGGGTACCTCTGCTCTCTCTCTGTTCCATATTCTGCTCTAAAGAGCCACAAAGAATTTCATCTTTCTAATTCATTTTTCTCAGGGAAATTAGTCCTTGAAGACACAGAGCTGGCTGGTAATAAAACAGACTCTCTTGTCTCAGTGTGGTGCTCTTTCTACCACACAGTATCTTCACTGCCTGTATCAGAGTTAAGGGTCTGTGGTAATTATTTAAGAAACATGCTTAAAATATACTTGATATTTCTTGGGTCCCTTAAGTTATTTCTGCTCTAAGATAAAATGAGATAATGTGTGGTTTCTTATATTCCAGTATGTCAAACTAAAGGGATCGTTTCCTACATTCTTTGGAGAAAGTTGCCTGAGCCAGAAGAAAAAGATAGTTTTGCGATTTCTCTTTCCAGGCATTCAATTTTTTTTTTTTATCTAGATAGAACAGGAAGAATAAATCATATTTGCAAATATGTTATGGGGAAGAGAAATCATTAATACAGAATGTGTGGCATAAATGCCGAATAGGGATAATAACATTAATCCTGAACAGGATGAGTTTTAAATTTTTAGTTGTATAATTTCCAAAAATAAGACATGTTCTAAAAATTCCAGGTTCTTAAGCACTATGTGATATTATTTATATGATTTAAATATTATTTTTTACTGAATTTTATTTTGGTTAATTGTGCTCTTTGTTTTAAAATGAATGATTTAAGCCAGAAACTTATATCAAAGTAATGTGATATGAACTTATAGTAAATTTAGCATGTAGTTTAAATGTATTTTGACTTCTGTATAGTAATAATGACACTGAAGGCTAGAACTGATTATTAAAGATAATGTAATTTAATGTCATAGAAATATGATAGGGTAAGGACTTTTTACCCTGTGTATAATTCACATTATTTCAGCATCAAAAATTTTCAACTGCTTCTTTTAATATTATTTCTTTAATTGTAGAGCTTTTTTGTTTTGGCCTTCATTTAATTTTTTAAACTGTTCTTAATTTTTTGCTGTGATATTTTTAGGTTAGAATAAATACTGGGAAAAATACCACTTTAAAATTCAGTGAAAAGAAAGAAGAAGCCAAACGTAAACGAAAGAACAGTACTGGCAGTGGTCATTCTGCCCAAGAGCTGCCTACGATTAAGTCGCCTGCTGACATTTACAGGTGAGTAGTATTCACAGACTATGGGCAATCTGCTGATCCCTCACCTCTTTTTGCAACTTAACAATTACAGAGGCCGTAATACCACAGCAGACTCAATAAGAAGTGAGGTATCCTGATGCAGTTAGCTTAGTGGTGTTGTTTTTTGTTTGTTTGTTTTGGGTTTTTTTGAGAGGTTTTTGCTATAGGGCGTGTGCTCGCCCAAAAGACGGAGAGACAGAAAACGAGAAATCACTTTCTGTGATTTCTCAGAAAATCCCCCCAACAGGAAGTCCCCCCCGAGGACAGCCACGCCACAGTCTCTTCTCTTCCATCCTCCTCTTGGGTTCTTGGGCACACATGCACACACGCCCGGCGTGAGTTTAAGCCACCAGGTCCGGGACTCGAACCGCAGTCAACCACATGGGAGTCCAGCGACATAACCATTACACTAACCGCTGGTCCCAGTTAGCTTAGCGTTTGAACGGCTGAACCACCACTGCTTGCCAGTCCAGAATATTGGGAAGGTTGCGATTGTTTTTGAAATAGTCAGGAGCTGCATAACGACATTTTGGTCAGTGGCAGCCTGCATTTAAGACAGTGGAACAATAAGGTACATCGGGTAGCCTAGGTGTGTAGTAGTTATACCGTCCAGATTTGGGTAAATATACTCTACGAAGTTCACACAACAGTGAAGTCACCTAAGGAGTCATTTTTCAGCATGTAGACCAATTGGACTAGTCAAATTCTTTTAATCTTTTTGTTTTCATTGCTAGAGGGCATTTGCACTTGCCAGAGAACTTGTGTGTTCCCCAGAGAGCGAGAATGTGCACATGCATGACCGCAGGCACCTCCCATTGGGATGTGGACACATAGCATTCCTTTTTCTTTCACTTCCTTATACTGTCAGGATCTCAGGCATGTATGCACATGTGCCCAGTGTATTTTCAGGCCTCAGGGACTAAGATCCAGACAGCAGTTGGCCATGTGGGATCCAGCTTTTTGTGCACAGCACTTAACCATTGCGCTATGGGACCAGCCCTAGTCAGGAAATCTTGTATCTTCATTTACAAATGGAAGGTTAGGGGCCAGCAGGTGCTGTGGTGATTAAGGCATCTGGAACCTGCATGGCTGACTCTGTCAGCTTGAAAAATCACACTGATGCTCGATGCTCATGCTTGTATGCCCAAATCCTGAGAAGAGAACGATGGGAAGGGATTATTGTGTTATGGCTTTCCTCTCCAGGGAGTGATTTCTCACTTCTCTCTCTCTCTGTGTCTGTCTCTCTCCTGCGAACACATGTACCTTATAGCAAATAATAATAATAATAATAATAATAATAATAATAATAAAAAGAAGTGAGTTTGGACCAGCTAGTGATATAGTGGTTAAGGCGGCTGAATCCCACATGGCTGACTGAGTGGTTCCAGCCCCACACCTGTGACTTGAAAAACATGCCAGGCACATGTGTGTATGTGTCCAAAATCTTAAGGGGGGGGATGGAGGAGAAGGGATTATTGCAATGTGACCTTCCTCTTTCTTTCTTTGTCTCTCTCTCTCTCTCTCTTTTTCTCTGTCTCTGGCAAGCTCAGAACCTGATTGCAAAATTAAAGGAAAAGAACATTATTGAGTCGTTGGAAAAGTCATGACATATTTTGGTTTTTCTGTGAAAAAATGTGTCATGACTTTTCAAACGATCCGATAGTTTGTATTTTCTAATTGGCTGGTGCAGTGCCTTTTTACTAGAGGAATAATGTGTGGCACGCAGTTTACCTTTTTAGAGGAGAAATTAATGGTACTGTTTTTGTTTTGTTATTTTCTTTTGAAAAAGCTATCATTCGAAGTTATCTACTTGTTTTTATGACCCGTATTTGTTAAATAGTGAAAATTGCTAAATGTCTAATGAATCTAAAATTGTATATTGGATTTTGGCAAATCAAGCTATTATCACTTAAACATATTTATAAATAACATTCTATATTTTATTAGGGTAAAAATTGTGTCTTTCAAAAATTATCTGAAATATGTGACTTGAGTCTGCAAAATTACTGTGATTGTGAAAATTTTAGATTCAGAGGGATTTTTGTTTTGTTTTTAGGTATTTTCCCATAGGGTGCATGTGCTTGCTAGAGAGACAGCTAGAAACAGGCAGAAGGAAAATGAGAAATCACCCCCAAGGGGGAATGGTACACTGCAGTCTCTTGTTCTTCATTCTCCTCTTGGGAGTTTGGACACACACATACATATCAAATTTGTTTTTCAAGCCCCCGTGTCTGGGACTTGAACAGGGGAAACAGCCATGGGATCCAGCACCTTACCTATCATGCCACCTGCTGACCCAAAGTTTTGTGTGTGTGTGTGTGTGTGTGTGTGTATGTGTGTGTGTGGGGGTGGCTATATTTCTTTTGTTTTAAAGACAGGGTCTTTGCTGTATTGTGATCCGTTTGAGTCAATGGGAATATGTACATACATACACTATCGTACCTGGCTGTTAGATTGGACTGGAAATTAAACCTGGGTTTCCCACGTGGTTGGTCCCAGCCCACAGAGCACAGCATCTTGGCAACATATGCCACTCTGGCTGGGCTAGATAGAAAATTTTAATTGAATATTTCAGATTAAATTCTAGAAAACATTTAAAGATATCCTTATGAAGTCATTCATAGTTTATTGAGTTACCTAAATAAATGTGTGTTTTTTGACTATTATAGAATCTTTGTTGATGTTGTAAATGGAGAATATATTCCTCGTAAATCAATCCTGAAGTCTCGGAGCAGAGAGAACAGTGTGTGTAGTGACACCAGCGAAAGCAGCGCTGCAGAATTTGATGATAGGCGGGGAGTTTTGAGGAGTATCAGCTGTGAGGAAGCCACCTGCAGTGACACCAGTGAGAGCATTTTGGAAGAGGAACCACAGCAGGAAAATCATCAAAAGAAACTTTTGGCTTTATCAGGAACACCTGAGGTGTGTATTTATCTTTGATTTGTTATTTCTTATAATGCCTTTGACCAATTTTTGCTATTTAATCTGAAAAGTCATAGGATCTAATTAATTGTAGATTTGTACTTTTTCAAGTTTATTTCTTTCAAGCAGAGAGGCAGACAGACAGAGACAGGTAGTTCCAGCAGGGTATTCATGTCGTAGTCCACACCCAGTGTTAGCCAGCTAGGATCATGAGCGCACTGCACGTACAAGGAGACCTTGGGATGCAAGCCTGGGACCTTCCCACGTAGCACCAATGCATTACCACCGCATTACTGTGGCTGGCTGACGTACTGTTTTAGTAATTAACTATTTGTAAAAAATAAATAGTTACTAGTAAACAGTACAGGTATTATATTAAAATAGTTCAGAATTTTTTTTATTAAAGTATTACTGTCTTGAAGTTTTATTTCTGTAAAATGAAAATTAAAAAATATCTTAATTGGCATATGTGTTACATTTTTGGCTAGAAAAATCATTTAGCAGTTTATTTTAAATAACCAATAAATCAGATAGTAGTCATTTTCTGAAAGCTGCAGTAGCAGATTATACTGTTCTCAAATACCTTGGTAAGTTAAAGAAAATATGCATTCATGGTAGAGAATTATCTAAAGTCCTATGTTTTGTCCTATATCAGTGAAATTTAACTTTTGGGAATTTATGGAATAATTTTATAATTTGATTAAAGCTGTAGACCCTCTCAGATAAATTAGCATATGGAAAACTTTTACCCACCACATTGCACATACAGTTTGGGCAATCCCAAAATAAGAATTTTAATCTATGAAAAATAAATTCCATTATATACAGATTTGATGTTTTTATTCTTATGTTTTTGGTAGATATTTAAGTTTTTAATTTAAAAAGTATTTAGTAAGACAGGGACTGTCAAGTGAATACATAAATTTGTATATGCAGTCAAATACATACCCAAGTATATATGTTTACATATAAATAAGTATTTGTAAAAACTCCATTGCTTATATTAAATGGTACTAATTGTACTAAATGGTAATTGGTGGTGGAGATCATTAGCATATAGGGTCAGCACATATTAGAAGGTTTTTCTCCTGTCCCACCCTATTAGGTGATCTGGAAAGTATCTCACCTTAATTAATAAACTTCCATACTGTTAGAAAACAGGTAATAGTTATTTGTTGACTCTTGCTATTATATATATTTTTTTTGTCTTTTTTTTGGTTTTTTTTTTTTTTTTTTTTTGAGAGGTTTTTGCTATAGGGCACGTGCACTCACCAGAAAGAGAGAGACAGAGGCAGAAAGCGAGAAGTCACCCCCCGGGGGGATGGCCACACTGCAATCCCTTCTCCTCCATTCTCCTCTCGGGATCTTGGACACGCACGCACACGCACCTGGCGTGAGTTTAAGCCACCGAGTCCAAGACTCAAACCTCAGTCGACTACATGGGAGTCCAGAGACATAACCATTAAGCTAACTGCTGGTCCTGCCATTATGTATTTGAAAATTAGATTTTTCCAATAACTTAGACTTTTGCCATTAAGTATTGGAAAATTAGGTTTTTCCAGTAACTTATGTATCATGGTATAGCTAGTTAGAATATAGAACTTATTTTCATTTCATCCTTAGCTTTGCATTTTGTGTTGAACTGTTATAGTAGACACTATGAATTTTTTAACATCAAAATAAATAGTTCATGATTATGGCAAGTACTTTGAAAGATCCTTTTTAGTATCTTTTTAAATGCTAAAATATTGTCTCATTTTCAAAAGCATTTTTAATATAATAAGAAGACTCTGTGCTCATCATGATAAAGTGGTATTTTTGGAAAAATAAGCTTTGAACTTCTTTTAGGAGCTGGACTTCAAAAATACTGTTAGAGGAAAATGGCATTTTTTATTTTTGTTTCAGTGGCAGGGAGAGGTGAGGTGTGGAGGAGTGGTGGTTTTTTAAAGTATACGCATAATACATTATCTTAACTACTTTGAATGCTTGGTAGACAAGGGAAGCAAAACACAAAACACAAATACGTGAAAGTTTGTATGTCAAATTTTAGTTGGTACACAGTAAGTTACTAGAAGGTGGAAGGATAGGAGGTTCTAAATACCAGAATTTTAAAAAGAAATCATAAGTCCTTGGTTCTTAAATAGAGGTATATAAAGATGTTTCCAGTGATTCGTACACAGTATTTTATTTTGTTCTGGTTGAACATAATATATTTGACCAGATTAAATCTAGCAAATAGCCAGTTGAAATTACATGAATTATTTGTAGAACTTCTGATATTCATCACTGCATTAATTTTATTTAAGATTTTGAAACATGTGCTTAGTCTTGGTAGTATGATCATTTTCATATTTTAGTTTCCATTGATCTCTTAAATAAAATTGAATTAAGATGTCATGTAATACTCAAATTATTTAATAGCATTAATGAACACCACCAAAGAGACGTTAATACTGGTGAAACCAAGCTATTGGCCAGTGGGCAGCATGCCGATCATAGGATAGCTCAGTCATCATCTGATGACCAAAAGTCTTGAGTTTGACACCCTAATAGTATTTTTTTAAAAATTTAAATTATTTTTCACAGCCTGGGTTGGATATAAATGGAACATACGAAAGTTTGAGGGCTTCATGTTTTTCCATTTTTGTTTTTTTACACATAAAATATGTATCCACACATTAAATTTGATGGCATAATTAAGAAAAATTTTAATGGTACCTCTGAATAATTAGTATTTTGATGCTATAGTGTTGTCTGTTCAAAAGTCATGTCAAATTTATTTACTTTTAATGAAAAGAAATGTCTTACTTGGTAAGTAGAGGATAAAGATTTTGTGGGCACCTTATTTACATTTTATTATCATAACATGACTGTTGTCTTCTAGGCTTTTTCTGGGACTGTAATAGAAAAAGAATTTTTATCGCCTTCCTTACCGCCACACCCAGCCATCGCTCATCCTGTACTACCTACCATTCCAGAACGAAAAGAAGTTCTGTCAGAAGTATCAGAAGAAGCTACAAAAAGGGTTTCGAAGTTCAAAGCTGCCAGATTGCAACAGAAAAACTAGGTCTTGTCTAGAAAATGGGAGTTTTTATCCTAAAACCTGGTTGTGCATTTATTTGTTTAGAATACATATAGCAAAATATGTTACTTGTAGTTTGAAATAAGGTATCTTGAATTAGTTTGGCAGCAAATTTTTTTACCCTTATCAGTGGTATTAAAAGAAATCAAGGTAAATGTCTGAACACTTAGATCCTCAGCTTGTTTTTATGAACTCTCTAAATACTGTCAACACTTTTGTCTAAGTTTGCCTTATGATGTCATGGTGGCATTTGGGGTTATTTTTCAAAGAATACTGTTCATATGCATTGTTTTTGTGTTTCAAACTAAATACAGGCAGTTTTGTACCAGCTGTGATGTTGTGCATACCATATGGACCATTTTAAGGAAACTTTGAAAATTTCAAATAGATTCAACAATTATATTACTTGCTTTCACATTTTAAAGGCACTTTAAAAAATCTACTTCCTTTGTAGGTTGTGCAGCTAGGCGGCTATTTAAAAAACCTTTCCCCCTTTGAATGTCATGCTGTTATCTTTAGGGCAGAAAGCTACATGTATGTACCCCACGGGAAAGTTTCTTTGATTGGAGAAATGATATTTTGTAAAACCTTTTTTTTTTTTCCAAGTAAAAATTTTATGAAACTTGGTCTCTGAAATGTTGTGAACTTTATGATTCCAATTGAGTATGGAAATATCTCTGATTTATATACATGCGACATATACCACACAGCCGCTCCACGAGTTCTTACAGTCCCATACACACTTCTCCCCTCATGTATGCAGTTACTGGGACTATGTTTGCGAGAAGAAGGGTTATCTAGATACTGAAAAATAAATTTTTAAAATAAAAATTTTTATGTTGTAATTTTCCCAGCATTTTCATTCTTTAATGCTGCTTTTCTACTTGTAAATAACTGAAATAACATATTTACTTTGAGAAAAACTTCGTAAAATAAAGAGAAATTTATTCTAACATTGAAAATTACACTGCAAGTGTTAATCATTAGCTTGATGCATGCTAAAATGTAGCTTTTAAAAAGCATTCTGCATTAGTACTAAAATAAGCCATCAATGCCAGTCCACCCTCTATTCATGGCTAAATATTTAAAGGTTATTTATAGCTTCTTTAATGAATTCTTGCTTAAACAAAGTGAAATTATGTCCTAGAAAAGTAGAAGCTATTTGTAACTAGAACAGCACAACTGTATAAGTTTTATGAATATGTATTTTAATGATAAGGGGGTGAGCTTGAATCCCCATTACTTAATGGATTATTCAGAACAGAGGGCTGATTTTGAAAGATTGCCTGAAAATGTAGATTTGTTCTTTAGTAAATTTTGATCAACTGTGCATATATTTTGCAGTTAAAAACTGTTTTTCTTTCAGTCCATCCCCCACTCCTCTCTAAACTAACCCAAAATAAGAGTACAAATTTAACAGACACACACAGTCTAGCACCCGTTCCCAACTGCTTATTCAAGTGAGCCTTTGTGTTCTAGATATTTTTTCCTCCGCCTGAAACAAACTTTATTGTAGGACTTTTATGGTGTTCTTTACAGATGTGTAATTTCAAAAGTACTGTCATTAAATAATTTTTCATGTTCCTAAACTTCATTTTGAGCTTGTCATTTATAGTCTTGTTACTTCAAACATGTCTTCCGTCATAGAATAAGATGTTATTAGAAGGAAAGAAAAAGCCTCTGATATTTTTGTGTTCTACCGAAGACCAAATGAAATAGTGATGTCTCTCATTTCATAGCTTCAGTCCTATAACAAGGTTTTAAATTATGACTTGAAACTACAGCTTTTTACAAATATTCAATTCAAATTTCAGTGAGAGAAAATGAAGCTGGGCTTAAGTGTCCTGTTTTAAATCACTGGAAAACAGCAGACTGAGAGATTTTTTTTTTAAACTTTTTATTTTGAACTAATTTCAGTCCTACAAAAAAATTGCACAGAATAATACTGAGAATTCCCACGAACTTCCTTGTCTAGCTTATTCTGGTATAACATTTAACCATAATTCAGTTAACAAAACCAGGAAGTTTACATTGGTGTAAATACTATTAACTAAACTATAGATCCTTATTTGAATTTCGCTAACTTTTTCACTGATGTGTTCTCTTCTGTTCCAGGGTCCTATTTAGGACCCCAACTGGTATCTATTTGTCACTGCTCCTTGGTCTCCTCCAATCTCTGACATTTCCTCAATTTTTTCTTGTCTTTCATGACTTTGACTTTTTTGGAAGAGTATAGCGTGGGTATTTTGTATAATGTTCTTCATTTTGGGTTTGTTTCATGTACTTGTGATTAGAGTGAGGTCTTGCATTTTGGACAAGAATACCACAAAAGTGCATATTAAGAGGTTTATATCAGAGCTACATTCCAGTGTGTCATTTCAAGAGGTCCTTATTTTTGACAGATTAACCCTGATCACTTAGTTAAGGAGGGATCTGCATGGTATCTCTACTGTTAGGTTACTTGTCTTTCCCTTTGTAACGAAGTTAATGAATATCTTGGGAGTTGCTTTCTCCTCTAACTTAAGCCCACTCCACTTTTCATTCATTGGTGGATCTTGTCTCCAACATTTCACTGTGGTATTTGCCTAAGGGTGAGTTTTCTCTCTTGCCATTTCCTTTTTTTATTTCTTTGGAATTCTTTTGTAGCAGAAAGATATGCCTACACCCCTCTCCCTATTTATTAATGTATTCAATTATGTATAGTAGTATGATCTTATTTTTTTCATTCTATGGATTAAGATCCAATACTGTCATTGTTTTGACTCAAATTGTTCTACTTTGGCCATCAGGAACTCCTTTGAGTCGACTCCTGCTTTTTTCAACAAGTTCTCATCTTTTTTTGAACAACTTCTTTATTCTTTAATACCACAGGTTCATCTTATACTTTTCCTGTTCCAGCCCTGGGTCAACCACTTCTCCAAGGAACCCATAATTTTCATTGGAGGATAGTGTTTAGAAACCAGCATCTCACTAAAGTGTGTGTATTGTCTGTGGCAGGTCATTGCTTCTCATTAATTTCAGCAGATAGAGCTAAGAAATTATATATGCATACAAGCTGATCAAAAAACTGAGTTGCTAAACTCACTAAGTCTAGTTCCTTTCTTTCCCACCCTCTTCATCTTGATTGTTGATCCTTTGTGATATAGTTAGGTTCATTTGTCACTGTTTGTGTTCCATTGTGTATTTTCCCCCACAGTCTGGTTGGCTAACATAGTTTACTTCTGGGGTTGTGAAAGATAAGTGCAACATTAGTATGGTTCTGAGTTGGACCTATCGAATAGATGTCCACAGAGAGGTATCACTTCCCTTCTCATTCCTCCTACCCCATTCTTTCCTTCACTTCCTCACCTACCCACTTCAAGAAACCAAACTCATTTCTTGTTTAACCTTTTTCTTTTGCACAAATCCTCTCTTACATACTGTAAGGTCTGTTTTTAGACTCAGGTTTGAACTTAACTGTTTGTTTTGGGGCTTTTTTTTTTCCCCCACAAATAGCAAATACCTGTGTTTTTGTTTTGTTTTTGTTTTCTTTTAATCCCCCCCTTTTCTTTTTTTTTTTTTTTTTTTGCCAGAGGTCAGGTGTGCTCACTAGATAGAGAAAGGGAGAAAGAGAAAGCACCCCTCAATAGAGCATGGTCCTGCCCCAGTCCCTTTTCCATTTCTCCATTTTGTCAGGATTAGGGTTGTCATTGCTTCTTGTTCATTTCTGCAGATAGAGCTAAAAAAAATTCCATGTGTATGATAACCAGTCAATAAAAACATGTACTCTGTGTTTTTCAAGCTGCCTAGGTCAGGGTTCACACTGTGTGGTCAGCCATGTGGGATCCAGCTTGCTTAGCTAGGCCACGTTTTCTTACATGCCTATATTTCACATGAGGGATGACATTCTCCGTTGTGCTTTTAATTTTTTTCACTTGTTCATATGCCCTTGTACTCTCTATCAGTTTGTAGAAATACTCTTTTTAACAGATATATAGTACTCTGTTTGTAGGATGAACATAGTTTATTCAGACATTTTTTTGAAATTTATTATTTTTTAATTTGCTATGGGGCATGTGTGCTCACCAGAGGGAGAGGGGAGAGGCAGCAAGTCACCAGGTTGGAGACTCCAATAATCGTTGGCCTTTTGGGTTGGCACCTTAATCACATGCCACCTGCTGTCCCCCAGGCAACTTACATATGGGAATTCAGGTTATTTTCAATATTTTGCAATTACATATATTAATGCCATGATTAACTTTGTATGTATTTTTCTATCATGGGAGATGTTTCTTCAGAATAGATTCCTAGAAGTAGACTTGATGGACCATGTGTGCAGTGACTAACATTTCTTTAAAATAATAAAATCTGTTTTTAAATATTGGGTTGTTTGGAAAAGTTATGACACATTTTTGCATAGAAAAACAAAAATACATCATGACTTCTGATGACCCAATATATCTATTTTTTTCTTTTATTGAGAACATGATTTAGTATGTATATTTGATTATTTATATTTCATTAATGATCTTTTTTTAAAAAGAATTATTTAACTTTATTTAATATTTATTTATTTAAATTTGACCAGAGAGAGAGAGAAAGTGAGAAAGCAATCCGTTAAGTCTGGGACTCAAACCGTGGTCGGCCACATGGGAGTCTAGTGCCCTTAAGTACCTCGTCACCTGCTGACCCCCATTGATGATTTTTTTTTTTAATGATGTTGGGAAACTATAGTGTCTTAAAGGAACTTCAGGGTCATGGAGGATGTTAATTATTGTATGATGATTATGTTCATTTTGCTAAAATTTGATTTTTTAAAAAATTGGTCGTACATGTAGTTTAAAGGAACTTTTTATTCATTGGGATATTTCCCTACTTATACAATACAGATGCCTATTTTACACATTTCTTTGTCTCCTCCATAAAAAACAACTTTAAAAGGTTAAAACTAATTCTTATTCATGCATTCTTTAAAAATATAGGCTCTCAGGTAGATGCCTGTTAAATGAATTTCTCAACCATAATACATATTTATGGTTTATATGTTTAATTCATTGGTCAGTAGTATTAAAATTTTACATTTTAAAATTCTTTCTTGGGACAACTTTTGGTGTGGTTGAGGAGGTTGGATCCTATGTGGTCAAGTATGGTTTGAGTTCCCGACCTGGCAGCCTGAAAAACACTGGGCACATGTGTGTCCAGAATCCCAAGAGGATAATAGAGGCAAAGGGATTACAGTGTCACCATTCCCTCTGGGGGATTTTTCACTTTCCTTTCTCTGGTGAGTGCATGTGTCTTAGAGCAAACTAAAAACAAAACTTAATTTTTATATTTTAAAATAGTACTTAAATTTTATTTTAGAAAAACATTTAGGATAGAGAGTTTTTGTACTTGGTTAAAATGAATCACAAGTTTTTGGAGCACTTACTATGTGTCAAGCATATTCTATACACTGTATTATTTAATGCTCACAGCAACCCAATGAGGATAGATGCTATTGTTTTATACTCTTATCCCCTCTTCCCACTTAAGAGATAAGAACATTTAGAGATTGAATATGTTAAACCATACAGCTATTGAGTTAAGCCAGGCCACCTTGCTGTAGAATCAGCACTCATAACATTTATTTTCACGTTTATGTTGTCTGCCCTCTAAATAAGACCATTTGGCTAGTAAGGAAAGACTTAATTACAAAATTAAGTCTGTAATTTTGTTTATTTATAATGAAGTTATCTTTTCAATGATCCAAACTTGGAACCTGTTTTATTTCTCTTTTTAAAAACAGTTCATTTTTTTTCTGTGAAAGAAAAAGAGAACCCCCAATAGGGACTTGATGCTGAGATCCTCCCCACACCTGTTAGCCAACCTTGGGTCAGACACAAGCATGTTACTGTCATATTTGGAGAGGTCTCCAGACTTGAACTAGGAACTTTCCCATCTGGGTTTGCCTTGTGGAACACCAGGTTCTTACCACTGCACCACCATTTGGTCCCTGAAACTGTCCTATTTCTTGAACTTTGTAAATAAAATTTACTTTGATTTGGTGGAATGGGGATGGAGTTTCAGTGCAATTTGGGCCTATGCATAAGAAATGGAATGTACAGAGAGAGAATAGTAAAAATGGGGGCCAGCAGG